TCACTGAGGAGAGCTGATTGGAGGAAGAGACACACCCCCCCTTCACAAAGTACAGAGCTGAGGCTAACAATCACAGGCCATGCCATCCCTGTCACCATTTTTCTCTTGGTGTCAGGAAAACTTGTCAGAAATGACTCATGTTTATTGCAGAGGAACAGAGCAGCAGACAGATATGACAAGCATACACTATAGAGGAATATGCCTTGTTCATATTTCATGAAGGGTCCCAGACTTTGCCCATCATAGTGGGCATAGGGGTCTTTAGGGTCCGGGCTCCAAAGGAATGGACTATGGTCCTGGACCTGTATGGTACTCCTCGGCTTTACTACACGTGTTACTAAAGGTGAGTGTCCAAGCAGGATCCATTTCCTGAAGTAACATTACAGGCTGTCCCTACAATTTGGGGTCTGGCTATGGCTCCCAAGGTTATACTGAGGTTGCACTGCTTCTGTTGTTGAAATAGAAAACAGTCAAATAAATACTAGTGCCGTTGGTTCAAATACCAACCACGGCACCACCTGCCTGGAGTTTGCATGTCCTCCCTGTGCCTGTGTGGGTTTCCTCCTACACGCCAAAGACATGCTGGTAGGTTAATTGGCTCCAGTCTAAATTGGCCCTGGTATGTGTATGTATGAATGTGAGTTAGGGACCTTAGATTGTACACGCCTTGAGGGTTAGGGACTGATGTGAATATACAATATACTGTGCCTTGAAAAAGTATCACATAAAATCCCAATACTTTTACGTTTTTGGTTGTAACATGACAAAATGGGGAACATTTCAAGGGTATGAATAGACCAACACAAAGTGGTACAGAATTGTGAAGTGGAAGGAAAATAAATGTTTTCAAATTTTTTTTTACAATTAAATCTGTGAAAAGTGTGGCAGCATTTGTATTCAGCCCCCGGAGTCAATATTTGTAGGACCCCCTTTCACTGCAATTACAGCTGCAAGTCTTTTTGTGGATGTCTCTCCCAGCTTTGCACATCTAGAGAGGGACATTTCTGCCCATTCTTCTTTGCAGAATAGCTCCAGCTCTGTCAGATTGGATGGAGAGCGTCTGTAAACAGCAATTCTCAAGTCTTGCCACAGATTCTCCACTGGATTTAGGTCTGGACTTTGACTGGGCCATTCTAACACATGAATATGCTTTGATCTAAACCATTCCATTGTAGCTCTGGCTGGATGTTTCGGGTCGTTGTCCTGCTGGAAGGTGAACCTCCGCCTTAAGTCTTTTGCAGATTCTAACAGGTTTTCTTCTCAGATTGCCCTGTATTTGGCTCCATCCATCTTCCCATCAACTCTGACCAGCTTCCCTGTCCCTGCTGTAGAAATGCATCCCCACATCATGATGCTGCCACATTTCACAGTGGGGATGGTGTGTTCAGGGTGATGGGCAGCGTTAGTTTTCCACCACACATAGCATTTTGCCTTTAGACCAAAAGGTTCAATTTTGGTCTCCTGTGACCAAAACCCCTTCTTCTAAGTTTGCTGTGTCCCCCACATGGCTTCTCGCAAACAAGACTTCTTATGGCTTTCTTCTGTCACTCTTCCATAAAGGCCAGATTCTACCACCTGAGCTGTGGATCTCTGCAGCTCCCCCAGTTACCATGGTTCTCTTGGCTGCTTCTCCGATGCATGCTCTCCTTGCCCGGCCTGTCAGGCAACAGTTTGATCAAAATAAAAAAAAGTTTAACAAATTTTAATATCATATTAGTGAAATCCCAATTTAGGAGAGGATTTACAAGAACCAAGCTGTTTCATGACCCTCCAGACAGGTCGGTGACCAAGTTTGACATTAACCACCATTGTCTGGGTTTCATATTATTAACCTAAAAACACTGAATTTAAAGAATAATTTCACCTTTTGAAAAAAATACTTTTGCAGGTAAAAAAAAGGGGCTTTTTTTTTTTTTTTTTTTTTTTTTTTTAAAGAGCCTGCAGACCATTGCACCAGTGATCAGCAGATGCTGGGTGCAGTGTAATGCTCCTGCAGACCCTCAGCAGAGCTGTATGCCTGCACCTCGTAAAGGCAGGCTGTTAGGCTGGCCATACATTATACAATTATCTGCAGATTTTTGGTTTAGATTTACCAAAAACCATATAATAGGAGGACAAACCTAAACAACACTTTCAGTTGTATCCAATTAGGCAGGCCCTTGCACTACATAGTTGAAGGTAAATCTAAAGGAAATTGGGCAGAAAATCTGCAGATAATTGTATAATGTATGGCCAGCCTTACTTGTGAGCAGAAAGATCAATGGACTAGAATACTCTCCAGCACTCTCATAGTTCATTCAGAACTACAAGCTGTCTGCCACAAGACAAGATGGTAGTTGTAGTCTATTCATTCACAAGAAATGTTCAAATTGTGAGAGTGGGTGCAGAGAAAGGATCCCCTTCCCACTGTTATGGGGGGGCAAAGAGGCTGCAGACCATTGCACCAGTGACCAGCAGATGCTGAGTGCAGTGTAATGCTCCTGCAGACCCTCAGCAGAGCTGTATGCCTGCACCTCGTACAGGCAGGCAGTTACTTGTGAGCAGAAAGATCAATGGACTAGAATACTCTCCAGCACTCTCAGGGACGGGGCGAAGGGGCTGCAGATGCTGGAACATATTTCACCCTCAAAATATGTTGGAACATATTCCAAAGGTGAACTTTATCCTTTAATATACCACCTACACCCCTCTGCCTTAGGTATCAGCAGTAATATAGGCACATACTCAGGTATTTACAATCACATTGGGGTGGATTTACTAAAACTGGAACGTGCAAAATCTGCTGCAGCTCTGCATAGAAACCAATCAGCTTCCAGGTTTTTGTCAAGCTGACAATAGAAGCGGATCGCCTACCATGCACAGCTCCTCCAGATTTCGTAAACAAACCCCTTTAAGTCTTGGTCAGCTTGTGATCATCCTCCGTGCATGCACACAGATAGATGAACAGTACTCGATCTACACAGACCGAACACCAACAAGGCCTCCAAATAAAATGAAACTAGCAATCCTGGTTTATATATTTTATTATCAAAGTTTCTTGTAAAACAAAATTTCAGGAACTGTACAACAAGATGGCACAGACTGGAAACTAGCTTTCATTACTGGGTCATCAACAAAAAATAAGCTCTTATGTTTTTGAAAATGAAACTGAAGAAAAAAAAAAAAAAATTCACTGACTACTGTGTGTAAGAATGGAATCACCATCAGTATACTACAGCACTAAGAGAACACAATCAGCAGGGTACGTTCTGGAAAGAAAAAAGAAGAAAGGACTTCTCAACAGTATACAAAAATATCCAATTAAAATGCAGTACTATATAAATCAATTTACACAGCAAAAAAGAAGAACTTTTCAAGTGAACGGTCAAGACGTAAGTGTTAAACCACTAGCAGGCTTGTTGAATAAGGCAGGCAGCAATGATGAGACAAATCCAGGACAACATGCTAGAACCTGGAGCTACCATCAGATTTTTGTTTACTTCAGATATATCTGTTAAAAGAACAAGCAAAGTGACAGGTTCTCTTAAAAGCTCACATTTTCTGTTCCATTTTTCCATTGGAGCCATGGGTCCAATCCTTGTGTATGCTCCTTGTTAGAGCTTACACAGCACAGTTCTCCCTCATGCATCCATGTTTTGGGCATCTTTCAAAACTGAGCAGTGGGTATATAGGCTGAAGGTCACATGCTCCCCCATCCCCAGAGACACTGGCTGTTTCCCCGAGCTCTGACAAAAAGGAATGAAGTAGCAGGCTATGTGACAAACACAAATGAGTGTGGGGGAAAAAGGAGCGGTTAAGAAGTGCCAGTCACTTTGCTGTGAATAGGCTAAGGTGGACTGTGTTGTGATGGGTTCACACAAGAGCATTTATTGCCTATTAAATAGTCAGAGGAAGGGAACTTCTGAAAGACTGAAATGGTCAACATGCTAAGCTAACAAAGTTAAAAAAAAAAAAAAAAAAAAGAAAAAAAAAAGGTATGCAGCATTTGACCTATATTTTCAGACCAATTCCACAAAGTCTTTCAAAGAATTGTGTTTATAACACATGGACTCTCACCAACTAGTGTAAACAAGCCTTCAAAAGGGCATCTACTTTCACAAAGTACAAAGCCCTCATACATCTGCACAGCCCTTCCTTCTTTGATGGGTAAGGGTGACCCATTTGATACTCTGTTCTGACTGGCTGATCTACTAGGCCCATTGCCCGGCACATCGTCTCAGACTCCTTTGGGTGTCATAGCCCATCTTTGAAAACTCTGATCTCCTGAAGTTGTCTGCGTCACTCAGTCAGGTCTTTAAAACCCACCAAGAAGCCTGAGCAGAGGGGAAACTGGATGTTTATTTTTCTGCCGATTTGTTGCCTTGCTATACATCACTGCCTTATGTGCTAGCTTACCAAATAAGCCTGCTATTTGTATTGTAGCTGACGGCAAACTAGTGAACTGAGGGGGGTCACTCACAGCCTTCAAACAAGTACATAAGATTAAAGCCTTAAAAAACAAAAACCACATTAAATCGGCAGAGTGTGTCTCATTCCCATGAGCAGAGGAGGTTCCGCTGTCCAACCTGCTGCATAGAGGACTGGCAGCTGTGAACACGGAGGGGTGGGGGTTGTCTAATGACTGCAAACACACACATACAGCTTTCTCTGACTAAAGTACTGCATATATCTATCTAGCACACAGGAGAGAGGAGGAAAGGGAATGGGCAGCTAAGTAGCAAATGATGGTAATCATGCGAGGTGTTAGACGCATGCAACGTGATCGTTAAGTTGCGTCACACTAGAGAATTGGGGTGGTTTTCATTTTACAAGTTTTTTTTTTTTTTTTTTTTCACCACACAAAACCGGTTATCCACTTCAATGTTTTAGATAGACAAACCTTTCAGCACAGCTCTAGTAACAGAAGGAAATGTACATTCACCAATAGCTCAGTGTTGCATACAACCAAAATTAGAACATATTAAATAGAAATAAAAATCACATAGTAATAAGGAGGAGAGTTAATCGCTCATATCCATGTCTTCCTCGTGATGATCGTCTCCATTCACTTTGGAGTCCTTTGGCGAGTCGCTGCTTGCTGGCTCAGCCGTGGTCTCGCAGTCTTGCGGCCCGCTGGCCTCTGAAACCATGTACTCTTCTCGCTTGTCCTTCTCGCTGTCGTAGCCCTGCTCCTCTTCATCATAATCCCGGGTTACCTGCTGTGTGGATGGAAAAACAAGAAAAGATTCTAATATGACCGATTCTTTAGTGGTGTTGTACCACACGAGAAACAAGCAGTGTACTACTACACGACATAAAAAGCATCTAGAACCTTTCAACCTCGGATTCGAAGATCCTTTAAAAAATAAAAAAAGTTTTAAGTCTTGGGGAACGCCTGAAAAACATTTAGTACATTAGCATGATCAGTACATCACAGAATGTTTTTAAGTACAAAAAAATGAAATGTTATAGCCAACATTTTGACATGCAAATCATACGTTTTTTCAGTAATAATCTTAAAAAAAATAAAAAATATAAAAACCGCATCCCTGTACATTAGTGACCAGGGTAGACGTCCCCCCCCGTACAATGGTGGTTAGTGCTAGTTGGAGATCAACCCTGGCTGAGAAAAGGTTGATCTAGACTTTAGTATTGCTGAAGGTTTACCACCCATGTACGAGCCCTTCCTCACCGTGCCGGTGGAGGTTATATTCATTCACATCCCCAGTTTGAAAGCCAGCAACAGACCACCCAATGACCGCTCTGGTTTCTATCAACCATTGGGAACCAAAGTGGTTCCTGACCATTTGATTGCTTTAACAAGGTGATTTTTTTTCCCATTTTACACCAGCCTGCAACCACCACACAAGCCCACAGATGGCAGTGTGCCTGTTTCATACTGTAAAGAGATCTACAATTATAGTAATTTTTGTCAATTGAACGTGTACCAATAAAAGCTCAGTGTGTCCTTAACCCTTTCCTGCCGGCGCCTCCCAGCCCTTTAAGAGTTTCAGATGGTGGGATGGGGTTTAGGGATCATGTGACTGCCGTGACGAGTTATCACGGCGGTCACATGATCGGGAAAGGTCCAGATCGAAAGAGCAGACCGGGACCTTTCCGTGAGTACCGGACATGTGTGCTGGGAGCGCGCAGGTTGCGCGCTCTCAGCACATATGTTTTTTTGTTAAGTGCACGCAAATGTGCGGGCCGCTCGGTGTCTAGGCCCAGATGCCAGGAGGCTGCACATTTGTGTGCTGCTGGCGTGAAGAGGTTAACACCTTCCCACACAGCCTACAGCAAAATTGACAGCCGGGTGGGACACTCCACGTTGTGACTGGGCGTCATATGACATCCTGTCAAAACAAGCCGCTCACGCAGCTGTGCAGTGGCGTGATCTGTCACCGACTGTGTCCACAGGACACAGCCGATGACATCACTACACCGGCCCATTGCCAGTGTCATGTGACCGCTGTGACCAATCACAGCAGATCACATGTCAATTGTATACAATGGATGGCTTCCTGTCATGCCATCCATTGTATACAATTGTTAGCTGTGATTGGTCAAAGCAGACACATGATACAGACAGGGCCATTTACAGCCCATCTGTATCATGTGATGAGCTTTGCCAAATCACAGCTAATCACAACAAGACTGAATGAATCAGTTTCATTCAGTAACAATGATTGCAAATATCAATGAAATACATTGGTATTAGTAATCATAATGTGTTAAAAAAAAAAAAAAAATCCTGATCACTTGCCCAGAGTAGTTCAATGTGTTGAAAAACAAAAAAATAGTATTCTTTACATACGGTCACCAGTGTCCTTGATGAACACCACACCCGTTATATAATAACACTGTACTGAACTGGCAACAATATGTTAAAACAAAAACAAGCTTACAAAAAAAAAATGTACCCCTCACACTTCTGTTCAATTTTTTCATACTTTATTCAGTTAAAAAATTAACATGAAGTCCCTTTGCCCATTAATTTCCTTAGCGCCAGGTCAATTTCCCAATGTGGAAGACAAATTTCCAATAAGTTGCAGCTATAAATGTATGCCTGCCTGTATCTAGCAGCTACATACAAGAGCATGCTGGGTCTGCCTTAAGCTGGCAGCTATATGAGACAACTTCATGCAGAGCCTATCTACTCATGTGCAGCTCATGGACACAGCTGAAAGCACAGAAGGGGAGACTGCCACCACCAGAAATAGGCCATGGCATTTTTAAAGGACAAACGGTTAGCCAATTAAATTTTATGCTGGCTATCCAGAGTGCTGGGAAATGCATCTCGTTTTTGCTGCTCTGAGCATAGCTTTCATATGCACCGTACTATAAAGGGGAGTTATAAACTGGTGCTGTTGCCATTTTAGTTTAGCCTGTTGTACAATAGACCTGTTACTAAAGTAAATGAATATTGTATGCAAAGCAACAAAAAAGCTGCCTGAAACTGAGGACTTTTGTACAGATACACATTCACTACAGGAAAGGGATACTTTGCTAAAATTAAGCTAATTTAGGATTTAAAACAAAAAAACAATTCCATGGGAAAAAAAAAAAAAAAAAAAAAAACCTACTTACTTTCACGTCTTTTTCACTTTCTGATCTCCGCTCACGTTCCCTCTCTTTATCTTTGCTCTTCTTCTTCTTGCTGGAAGATCGTTCTCTTTCATCCCTGTTCCTCTCACGCTCCTTATCCTTCTTCTTTTCTTTTTTGTGTCTGCAATTCCAAGAAGGTTGGGAAAAGTTAAACAGAACTGGCCAATGTACAACACTTCAGCAGACACTTGAACAGTTCTTGTATTCCCGCCTTTAGACAGAAACCAGCTAGGTATACCGTGCAAAATGCATAGCAGTGACTGATCTGACATAAGGGATCCCTGTCAAGAGATAACAATGGAGGCTGCCATTACCAGTCTCCTAAAAAAGGCAGTGCATTTCAATGGTTTGTGAGAGGTCAGAATGTTGTCTTCCATAGCCTCCGACTACGGTTTTTTTGTTTTTAAAAGAATAAGGGCATTTATCAACAGTTTTTTTTTTTGCGGCAGAACTACTTTACTCAACACAAGTTTGGGAATACAAATGCAGTTTAACAGCTTCCCAACCGCCCTGTAGCAGGAATACTACTACAGGGTGGCACAGGTGCGCAAAATCACGTATATATGTGATTTTGTATTTCTGGGTGGGGGGCGTCATTCACGGCAGTCAGTCACCAGGTCCCGGCCGGTGGTTACTGAGGATCTCCGACAGGGAGGAGGGCTGCTTTGTTCACTAACAGTTCTCCTCCCTGTCAGCTGGGGCACACTGCTTTGGATGCATAGCGCAGCCATCCAAAGCAGTGTGCTTACCGTGAAGCACACCCCCCTAGTAAAACACGCCCAGCATACAGTTAACCCTTTGATTGCCCCCTCATGTTAACCCCTTCCTGCCCAGTGCCATTAGTACAAAGTCCAAAGGTGCAATCCTTAATGGGGAGCGGGGGACAAAGGCTTACAGCGGAACTTCCCCTTTTGGGTGGAGCTCCACTTTAAACTGCACAGAAAAACCAAATATTTGTGGCATTTTACTTTCCACACTTTAGTGAACAGGCTAGAAGATGTAACTACTACAGGAACAGTCAATTCCCTAGTACAGCCTCTTTGCATGTATTTACTCTCTGTGCTGACTCAGTTCCTGTGTCTCTTCCCTCACTATAGTGTGTCACTTTGCTGACAGTCTGAGTTTGCGGAGACTGTTGATATAACATCCAAGATGGCAGTGCCCAGCAGGCGTTTCACAGCTTTTGGATGTCTACACATTGGAGAGCTTTTACAAGCCAAAAACATGCATAAAAACAGATTAAATGCATGTATAAGCTTATGGGAAGTTTTTTTTTTGAAATTTATAGTCTGGTAACAAAAAGAACAAAACACAACAACAAAAATGAAAACCTATCATCTCCTTTATGCACACCACAAAGAGTATAAGCGCATACACTTTTGGTGGCTAAAGAAATTACCTCCTTGGTGAAGGAGAGCGTGAGTACTTCCTCTTCGGTGACCTTGGCTTTTTAGGAGACCGAGATGCAGTTCGACTCTTCCTGCGCCTCCGATCTCTGTTAAAAAGAATACATTAGAAGATGCATTTGAAAGCAGATGATCGACAGATCCTCATTTCTGGCAACACTACACGGAGATTTCACACAAAGCAAAGGATTTTACCTGCTTGTGCTTCTAGACCGTCTGCTTGTGCTGTAGCTTTTAGGAGGTGTTTTGGATCGTTTTTTCTCCTTTTCTTCTCGCTTTTTCTCTCTAAAACAAGTTAAACAGCAATCTATTGATATTTGCACAAAGTCAAGAGCAATTTTATGAACCTGTGAATGTAAAAGTATTACCAATTTCTGAAGAGGAGGAAAAGGTTCTGGGAAATGGTGGTGAACACTGAATGGTGCATACACAGAAAAAGTAAAGTTGACAAATACCTAGACTTGGATCGAGAGCGGCGGGTTCTTTCCCGTGAGTGTGATCTTCGCCTGCGTGGGCTCTTTGATCGCCGCCGGCTTCTAGACTTTGAATGAGATCTTCTCCTTGATCTACTTCTAGATCGCCTAAGCAAGCAAGAGATCAGAATTAAAGACAGATTTACATGACTTTCTTTAAAAGGCAAACCTGTGTTCTTTGTGCAGAGCAATGCAAAAGGTTCACTCCAAAGCAGACCTCCCTAGCTTCCTATACATACCTTCCTTATGCGGTCACTCCTGTTGCTGGGAGCAAAAGGAAAGACCTGTATGAGTTGCGAGTCAATGGAGTCCCCTACTAGGCTGTCACACTGAGAAAGCCACATGCTCCTCTACCTGAAGTACCAGATATTGCCTTAGGCTCTATAGGCTGCTGGGGTGGATAGACGGAGGGCTTAAAACAAACCTTTTTCTTTGTCCTGAATCCATAAAATAGCATATCAACCAAACACTGGACTGGACTTTTGCACATCACATTTATATATGCACTTTACATTTCAGTATTTTTAGTTCGTATGGTTTTTGATACATGTTAATGCATGTCATTTGTTTGCACATGAATTCATATTCCTCTCTAAACTGTTACGTCATATTGCATTGAAGTTGGATTTGCACATTAAAAATGCATGTCAGTAATAAATTTCTTTAGATTATGCTGCACTTTTTCAAAGTATTATCATTGGTGCGGGACCTCGTGTCAGTGCTGGCTGCAGTTTGTTTTTGTATTTTTTTTCTTTTTTGTGTTAATCAGTTGCACTGTGTAGCGCAAAGACAGTACTTTATTTTACAGTGACAGTTACAGAAGAGTCTTCAGGGGATGGCAAAAGGGAAAAATTATAAATTGGTCAGGGAAAAGGGATTTGTCAGCGTCTCCCAGCTTAGTCAGTGAATCAACGATGGCATACAGTATTAAAGGATAGGTGTACATGATGAAGATGGACAAAATGCTCTTCTGCCTGATCAAATTAGTTTTTAACCCTTTCGCTGCCCGGTCTGTACACCATATGGACCTGAAAGCAGGAGGTTTTATACACAATCCAGTGGCTGCAGCCACAGGGATTGTGTATAAAACGGACAGGCAGACTCCTGCCTGTCAGGTGGAAGCAGTCAGGCAGCTCACAAAAATTTAGGGTTTGGCATGTTGACTATTTACTCGGCACAACCTCTACTTTTATATTGTACCAAAAATTTAGGTAATTTATTGCGTTTGTTTGCCTGAAAATTCACTTTAGTGTGATTTTTACTAAGATTTTTTGCAGAAATTTGCGTTTCCTAGACCTTTGCAATAATATCATGTGACATGGAACATGTGACAAATTGGAACTACTACTTTTTTATTCTCTAGGGTGTCTTCTTTCAGAAAATATGTTTGGGGGTTTTCTGTAATCTTCAGGCCTAAAATGATTTTTTTACAACGTGTGCAAAAACAGCTCTGGCAGCGAAAGGGTTAAACTGTGGGCTGAGAAAAGAGCCTTCAATACTCCCAGGAGAGGTTAAATTAAAAGACTCTTGTGAGGCAGACTAAAAGGACATTTATAGGCCTCTGTGTGCTTACTAAAATTTTATAACAAACACTGAAATTGAAAAGGAGAAACCCTGATCGCCGCACTCCAAGCAAAACCTGAAAGTCACTCAGGTAAAAGCAACGTTACCGTGAGGTAAGCGGAGACTGCTTTTACTTGACTGTTTTGCTGGCAGTGCAGAGATTTGGGTTTCTTCCTTTTAATCTCATGGTTTGTTATAAAGTTTTAGTAAAGCACACAAAGGCCTGTAAATGTCCTTTAGTTAGCCTCACAAGATTAAAGACCCTGCAACCAGTGCATTACCGAACCTAATGAACTTCAAGATTGAACATTATTGAGCCGGGACGAGTTCTTCTCAAGCCTGCACCCATAGTGAGAGCCTACAAGATTTTTGGACCCTGAGTAGCATTCCGAGTCTTTTTAAAACATTGGAAATGGATATAGAAGAATCTCTCACCTGTGTCTGGAAGAAGAGGGTGTCCTCCTCCTCCTGGATCGGGAACGTGACCTTGAATGCTTTTTCGACTTGTCATCTTTCTTTTCTGAAATCAAATACGCAGATAGCTCTCAGATCTCTGATCAATCAAATCAACAGCAAAGAAAGTCACAGAGGACCTGAAACTTACCTGGCTCAATAGCTGCAGATATCAAGGACTGAGCCTCCCGGACACGCTTCATTGCCTCCTCGATATCTTTATTCGAGGCATCAGATTTCAGGCTTGGTGACACTAGCCCAGCCGTCACATGATTCAGCCTAAAAACCAAACATGTTATAATTCATTCAATGCACATACAGAATGGAGAGTGCAATGAGAAAACTCTGGGCATAAGGGAGAGGACTTACTTTGGATCCACTGTGCTCATGAGCTTCAACAACTGATCTGCTGCAAGAGACTGGAAACAAACCCACAAACACGTTAGCAATAAAATGACATTCAATGAAAAAAAAAAAAAAAAAAAAAAAAACTGCTAAGCTTTCCAAGAAATGCAAAGATTCTTTCCAATCTAACCTTGCCCAGCCTAGAAAGAATGCCGATATTTTGGCCACTGAAAGAAATGGATACTGGGAGAAATGCTGACCTCTAAAATGTAATATACTGGGCCATCTCCTGGATTCCATTTTTTTTTTTCTTTTGAATAGGGTGCGGTATGGTGTATCAGCAAAATCACTTGTGGTATAAAGCAGAGCATCATCCCATAAAGTATATAGCAACTATTGAACACCTCTGATATGGGATACATTATACTACTAGTTACCACAAATCACAAAGAGACCAATATATCAAACAGATTTTATTACAAATTTACTAAAAAATATTAATGGTCCACACATAATAAAAATTGAAAAAAAAAAAAAAAAAAAAAAAAAAAAAAAAAGAGCATAATACATAGATGTCCCTGAAATAGGTTATGTGTTTTGTAAGTTTTTCATGCTTCTTCAGGACCGACAAGGAGAACGTATAATGGGTTTTGCAAATTAGTAGAATGATCTCTATAAAAGAATATGTTCAGGGGGGAAATCTATCTAGAAACTTCAAAAATCATCACAGAGGTGCTTGAAAACTGTGCCTGCCAGCCCATAAGAAACATTCGTGCACGACTCACTTGCAGTGTGCCCCCCCAGAAAAGCATGATGCAGATAGTGAGTGGATCTTTGGTAAGCCAGGATGGGAATCTAAAACTAAGGTGTATAAGGAAAATTATTTAAAGCAATCACACATAGCCACTAGGCCATCTCAGTCTCAGTTACTGGCATTCAAACATAGACAGGCGGCGCCTTCCTGTCATGTTTGACAGTCAGTAACGGAGATGGCCTAGTGGCTCTGTATGATCTGTGCGAATAGGGAGATCATTTACTATTCTGCACAACCCATTATAAACTCGTCAGTCCTGAAGAAGCAGGTAAAACCCACAAAACACTGTGACCTATTTCAAAGGATAGATACCTTTAATTCTTTTATCTAGTAAAGTGGAACTTCACCCAAAAAGGAGATGTTCAGCTTATTTGTATCCTCCACTACCATATTTGGCACATTTTTTGGGGTGGGTTTGGGAAGGGGGAGCAGGCACCTGGTTTTGACAGGTACCCGCTGCCACTTCCGAGCCAGATTGCCGCAACTATCTGAGCTGGAAGTTTAGACCCTGCATGTCTCATTAAAGAGAACCTGTCAGCTAAAGATAATCACATAGCACGCGTTGAGAGCAATACTCATGCTACAAATCACACCGGAGTGAGAGCAATAATTCTAGTACAAGATCTCCTCCGTAACACTGAACTGATGACCTAGAAGGGGCTTTTGAAGTGTCACCTACAGAAAATATAGGGTACTGAAGTTTGTCTCCATTTCATAGGCGCACACAAATTTAAGGATCAACATATTGGGTATCTATTTGCTTGGTGCAACCTCATCTTATATTTTACCAAAATATTTGGGTAATTTATTGCATTTGCCTTAAAATTCACTTTGGTGTGTTTTTTACTGACATTTTGCATTTCTTAGACCTTTGCAGTAATATTGTGTGAGCATTCAGGAGCCCAGAACTCAAAATTTGAAGCTTGAAAAGATACACAAGTTACTTTTGAGGCAAATATGGCATTTTTGGTCCCATTCACTTCAGTGAGTGCATGAAAAGATGCTAGATACAGCAATGTCATGTAATTTAACTGTCAAAAAGGAAAATCTACCTGTGAGTTTAGATTGGCTCCTGGAAGAGTGAGAGCCGCAAGAGTGGGATCCAGTGTAGGTGCTCCCAGCGCAGAAAGGGGAACAGCTCCAATCTGTAGGCACATAAGATCTGCATTTGTATCCTGAAACATGCCCATGCTCTAGATTGGTTAGAAATAAAAACAGGTTTGTGTGGTACATCAATTACAACGATATCGAAAAAATGACAAATAAAAATGCAACAGAGCCATTGTAATGAAACATTCAATATTTTATCTGCTGGTATGATGTTTGGAGTATGCAATAGAGTATACTGCTACCTGCAACATTGTTTCTAAACCAAAGAATAGAAATTTAATGTACTGTATAATATATTATATCCTTAAAAATGGTGATCTGTGGTCAGTGTTCTCCCCCTTTTACTTTCATTTGGCAGTACTGCAACTAACACTTCCTGTCCTATGGTGGCAAAGCTCACTCTGTACTGTAACTATGGAGGAGTATTAATGTCACCCTAGGACAGGAAGTTTGATAGGAATTCAGAACACCTTCACTTCTCCACACCAAAGGGGAAGAATTACATAGCACAAAGCAGTGCACAGGACAGCAAAGATTCTGGGCCTGATATAATCAGGTGACGAAACTCATCAGGAGTCGAGCCACACGACGTACTCTGGAATGAGGCATCCACCTTACATTCCCAGCCAGAAGTGACTATCGCTGGGAAGCAACAAGGATTGGGTGAGACGCTCGTTCCATGTGACATGCCGATACCCTTAGTGGTTACTGGGGATATTTTGGCATGCTTTCATTTATTTTATGTGAGTGCATACTTTTTATCCAATAAATGGTTTTTAATGGATTCACGCTATGAGTTTCCTTTCATATCTTTCCTCGATTAAGGAGTTTAATAGTTTGGAGGATTCCACGCCATTTAATCAGTCTCTAAAATGATGAAGGACTTGTTGATTGATGATCTTTACTATGCTGACACTCACCACAAGTGCTACTGCCTATCTGGTTTGGATGGGCCACGATATCTGGTGAGCGTCCCTGAAACGGGGGAGGTTCTTCCTCTGGAGCATGTGGCGATATCTGAATGCACTGTATTCAAATCAATTATCGTTGTTACTCACGTGGTGATTTCGGTGGATCAAAAGGACTTTGTACTTCATCCCAATTTTCTTTTCTTTTTTTTGTTGGTGGATTTGTGTTAATTAAATGATTTAAATATTTGTGCATATCATTTATTGAAGTTTTATATTTCGTGCTATTTTTCCACTTTGCCTGTGATTCACATTCTTTTGCGCGGCTTTTGTCTTTTTTTGGATAGGTTTTCAACATTCTAAATTATTTTGAGATTATATTACAATGTCTCTATGCTACAGAAGTTGGATAATTGAAAACTCTCAGTACATAGGACCACAGCGAATGCCTGTATTAGATAGATTTTTTTTCCTTCCCCCAGAATAGCTTAGGTAATACATTATTTTAAGCAATACTGACTGGTCCCAGTTTGTCTAACCAGTTCTGTCAAAAGAGCATATACTTTAGTTTATAGCTTTTTAACAAGCTAAATGTTAGGAGCTAAATAACCCAACTTGATTTGATTTTTATTTATAATCACCAATTATATTTTTCATTACCATTTTGCACTGATTTTTATTAATATACAGGTGAAACTCAAAATATTAGAATATCGTGCAAAAGTTCATTAATTTCAGTAATGCAACTTAAAAGGTGAAACTAATATATGAGATAGACTCATTACATGCAAAGCAAGATAGTTCAAGCCGTGATTTGTCATCATTGTGATGATTATGGCTTACAGCTCATGAAAACCCCAAATCCACAATCTCAGAAAATGAGAATATTGTGAAAAGGTGCAATATTCTCGGCTCAAAGTGTCCCACTCTAATCAGATAATTAAGCCATAACACCTGCAAAGGGTTCCTGAGCCTTTAAATGGTCTCTCAGTCTGGCTCAGTAGGAATCACAATCATGGGAAAGACTGCTGACCTGACACTTGAGCAGAGAACCATCATTGACACCCTCCATAAGGAGGGAAAGCCTCAAAGGGTAATTGCAAAAGAAGCTGGATGTTCCCAAAGTATTGTATCAAAGCACATTAATAGAAAGTTATGTGGAAGGGAAAAGTGTGGAAGAAAAAGGTGCACAAGCAGCAGGGATGACCGCAGCCTGGAGAGGATGGTCAGGAAAAGGCCATTCAAAAGTGTTGGGGACTTTCACAAGGAGTGGACTGAGGCTGGAGTCAGTGCATCAAGAGCCACCACACACAGATGGATCCTGGACATGGGCTTCAAATGTCGTATTCCTCTTGTCAAGCCTCTCCTGAACAACGAACGTCAGAAACGTCTTACCCGGGCTAAAGAAAAACAGACCTGGTCTGTTGCTCAGTGGTCCAAAGTCCTCTTTTCTGATGAGAGCAACTTTTGCATCTCATTTGGAAACCAAGGACCCAGAGTATGGAGGAAGAAGAATGGAGAGGCCCAAGGACCCCGAGTATGGAGGAAGAATGGGAGAGGCACACACTGCAAGATGCTTGAAGTCCAGTGTGAAGTTTCCACAGTCTGTGTTGATTTGGGGAGCCATGTCATCTGCTGCTGGTGTTGGTCCACTGTGCTTCATTAAGTCCAGGGTCAACGCAGCCATCTACCAGGAGATTTTGGAGCACTTCATGCTTCCTTCCGCAGACTAGCTTTATGGGGATGCTGACTTCATTTTCCAGCAGGACTTGGCACCTGCCCACACTGCCAAAAGCACCAAAACCTGGTTCAATGACTGTGGGATTCCTGTGCTTGATTGGCCAGCAAACTCGCCTGACCTGAACCCCATAGAGAATCTATGGGGCATCGCCAAGAGAAAGATGAGAGACATGAGACCGAACAATGCAGAAGAGCTGAAGGCCGCTATTGAAGCATCCTGGTCTTCCATAACACCTCAGCAGTGCCACAGGCTGATAGCTTCCATGCCACGCCGCATTGAGGCAGTAATTGCTGCAAAAGGGGCCCAAACCAAGTACTGAGTACATATGCATGCTTATACTTTTCAGAGGTCCGATATTGTTCTATGTACAATCCTTGTTTTATTGATTGCATGTAATATTCTCATTTTCTGAGATTGTGGATTTGGGGTTTTCATGAGCTGTAAGCCATAATCATCACAATGATGACAAATCACGGCTTGAACTATCTTGCTTTGCATGTAATGAGTCTATCTCATATATTAGTTTCACCTTTTAAGTTGCTGCACTGAAATAAATGAACTTTTGCACAATATTCTATCTTTTCGAGTTTCACCTGTATATTTCTGCACATTATTGCTTTTTATTTCATCTACAAATTAGCACAAATAAAGAACTCTGATTATCAGTTGATTTATGAAAATTAGTAGGTAAATCGCCTTAATTCCAGATACCCGCCTGTTATCATAAACTATATACTGATTTTTACCTCAGAGCAAAAGTTCTCACACCAGTTCTTTTGTACTTGGCAAACAGGCATATTACAATTTTCAATGATAAAATTTACTGGTAAACCCCATTTTAAAAATAAAAACATGTTATACTCGCCTGCTCTGGGTTTTTCCACAGAACAGCCCAGATCCCCCCCCCCCATGCTCCTGGCTGCTCCTCTTTAGTTAGTGCCTGCACAGGAAGCTGCTTCCTAAGGGGGCACTCTTGCGGGCTCTAGCCCGAGCCACTTTCATCTTGCCACTCTTCCATAAAGGCCAGATTTGTGGAGTGCGGGACCAATAGTTGTCCTGTGGACAGATTCTCCCACTTGAGCTGTGGATCTCTTCAACTCCTCCAGTTATCATGGGCCTCTTGGCTGCTTCTCTGATTTATGCTCTCCTTGCCCGGCCTGTCAGTTTAGGTGGACAGCCATGTCTTGGTAGGTTTGCAGTTGTGCCATACTCTTTCCATTTTCGGATGATGGATTGGACAGTGCTCCGTGAGATGTTCAAAGCTTGAGTTTTATTTTTTTTTTTTTATATATAACCTAACCCTGCTTTAAAGTTCTCCACAAATCTATCCGTGACCTGTCTTGTGTGTTCCTTGGCCTTTATGCTGCTGTTTGTTCACTAATGTTTTCTAACAAACCTCTGAGGGCTTCACAGAACAGTGGTATTTATACTGAGATAAAATTACACAGGTGGACTCTTATTTACTAATTAGGATACTTCTGAAGGCAATTGATTCCACTAGATTTGAGTTAAGAGTATCACAGTAAAAGGTGCTGAATACAAAATGCACACCACACTTATCAGATATTTGTAAACAATTATGACAACCATTTTATCATTTTCCTTCCATTTCACAATTATGTGCCACTTTGTGTTGGTCTATCACATAAAATCCCAAAAAAATACATTTACGTTTTTGGTTGTAATATGACAAAGTGGAAACTTTCAAGGGGTATGAATACTTTTTAGGGCACTGTAGATGGAAGCCGCTGAAGGAATCTCAAACTGAGGAGTAAGAATCCTTAGTCTGATGAAACCAAGATTGAACTGTTTGGCTTCAATTCTAAGACGTTAAGTCTGGAGGAAACCAGGCACTACTCACCACCTGCCCAATACCATCCCAACAGTGAAGCATGCTGGCAGCAGCATCACACTGTGGGGGTGCTTTTCCACAGCAAGGCCGGAGAGACCAGTCACGGTTGAGGGAAAGCTGAATGGAGCAAAGTACAGACATATCCTCAATGAAAACGTCATCCGCAGCACTCACAACCTCAGCCTGGGCCAAAGGTTCACCTTACAACATGGCAAGGATCCTAAGCACAAACCCAAAACAGCACAGGAGTGGCTTAGGGACAACTCAATGTCCTACAGTGGCCCAGCCAGAGCCCTGACTTGAACCCTATTGAACATCTCTGGAAAGACTTGAAAATGGCTTTCCACCGATGGTCCCCATCCAACCTGACTGAGCTTGAGAGGATTTGCAAAGAATGGCAGAAAATCCAGTTGTGAAAAGCTTGTCATGTCATACCCAAAAGACAAGGCTGTAATTGCTGCTAAAGGTGCTTCAACAAAGTACTTTGTAAAGAGTTTCAATACTTAAGTGCATGGGATATCATTATTATACAGGATTCATATAGCACCAACAGTTTACGCAGCGTTTTACAATATAAGGGAACAGTACAATTACAATACAGTTTGATGCAGAAGGAATTGGAGGGCCCTGCGCAGGTAGCTTAAAATCTAAAGGGAGGGGAAGGGGGTACAAAGGTAGCAGCCGCAAGGGATGATCTAATGGAGGTGACGAGTACAGTTCTTAGGTGGAGGTGGGGGAAGGCATCCCTGAATAAACAAGTTTAAGGATAGTCTAAAGGCAGACAAGGTAGGAGCTAAACGGACACATTGGGGCAGGGAGTTCCAGAGGATTGGAGAGGCTCTGGAGAAGTCCTGGAGGCAAGCATGGGTAGAGGTAACAAAGGAACTGGAGAGCAGGAGGTCTTGGGATGAGCAGAGAGGATGGTTTGGGTGACATCTGCAGATGAGGTTGGTGATGTAGCTGGGGGCGAAGTTGGGGATGGCCTTGTATGTTTTGGTTCGTATTTTTAATTTTATACATTGGGCTGGTGAAAGCCAGTTAAGAGATTGGCAGAGAGGGGAAGCAGTCATGGATCGGTTAGGAAGGTGTATTAATCTAGCAGCAGAATTCATAATAGACTGAAGGGGGAGGATAGCCTGTGTAGGAGTAGGCCAATGAGGAGGGAGTTGCAGTAGTCAAGGCGGGAAATAACCAAGGAGTGAATAAGCGGTTTTTGGGGTGTCGTTAGTCAGGAAGGGGCGAATTCTTGAAATGTTGCGGAGGTTGAGGCAGCAACATTTAGCCAGTGATTGGATGTGGGGGCTGAAGGATAGGTCAGAGTCTACAATTACACCTAGAACTCTGGCATGTGGGGGAGTGACCAAAGGTGATAAAGGGGTCCTGCAAGACACCGAAACGTAGCCTTACTGTAACTATGATCGTTCATTAAAACTTTTGTGATATGTAAGGAGATTGAGGGGGTTAGCTGAGCGGGTGAGAGGAGCTGAGAGAGATCTGGGTGTCATCATAGAGACGGTATTGGAAGCCATGAAAGGTTATCAACTGGCCCAGGGAAGAGGTATAGAGAGAAGAGGAGGGGCCAAAGGACAGAGCCTTGGGGTACCCCAAAAGAAAGAGGAGCGGAGGAGATGGTATTGCATGTGATACGAAAAATGCGCTGAGATAGGTAGGAGAACAAGGAAAGAGCAGAGTCACAGAGGCTAAGGGAGTGGAGTTTACTGAGGAGAGGCTGGTCAACGGTGTCAAAGTCAGCAGAAAGGTCTAAGAGTATGAGCATGGATTACTGGCCGTCGGTTTTAATAGGGCAGTTTCAGTGGAACGTTGTGGGTGGAAGCCAGACTGTAGGGGATTGAAAAAGGCTGTTGTCAATGACGTAGCAACTCAGTTGTGGACAAGGCGTTCAAGAAGGTTTGAGCCACACAGGAGTAGGGAGATGGGCCTTAAGCTATTCAAACAGGTGGGGTCCAGTGAGGGTTTTTTTTTCTTTCAAGTATGGAGTTGACAAGTGCAAGTTTGAGTGGGGAGGGAAAGGTGCCGGAAGATGAGCGGTTGAAGATGTGGGTTATAGTTTAGAATGGAGCAGGAAGGTGGTTGCAGTAATTGTGAGGGGACAGGTGATGAGGTGGAAAGCGGAAAGGGGTTTGTCAACTTCCTCAGTGGTAACAGGGTTGAAGGAGGAGAGTGTTGAGTGTGGTGTTGGGCTTGGTGGAGAAAGCTGGACATCTCATTAAGAATTGTGTATTTTCTTTTAGAAATGATTGGTGGTAATAAGGTTGGTGGCTGGAGGCAGTGAGGTGTAAAGTAAAAAATTAAAGGTAGAAAAGAGTTGGAACACTTTTTTCTTATAAATTCACATTTCTAAAAAGTATTACCAGGCTGCAACATATAATTGAAAATAATGCCGTGTACATGTGTGTATGTATACACACACACACCCCTATATCTCTCTAAATAAAAAAAAAACGTACCTGACTGAGGGGGTTCGGAGTAGGCAGGAGTCCTCCACCTGGTAGCAAACTAGTGACCGCATTAGCTGGGGCCACAAGTGTCAGAGCTTTGGCCTCATCAGGAATGATTCCTGTAGAAGAACATATCTGTATTAGCCACACCGTTCACAGAAGGACTTAAAAAACACAAAAAAAAAAAAGTCAAAGTAAAAGAAAGAAAAGAGAAAAACAGAACAAAAAAAGAAAAAAAAAAACAAACAAAAAAAACACCCAGAAATTCACTGATCCATCACTCAAACTTGCTGATTGTACTTATTTCTGGCTGTCATGTTCATGCTAGCTCTATCTACATTTTACCGGTAATGTGAAAAAATTAAATCACTGGGCTTTTTTTCTCGACTTTCTACACATGGTTAAAAAGTTCTAGAGTAAGAAAAGATACTGCACAATACACACACTACTGCTGCTTTGTGTTAACACTGCCGAGATTTCATCACCTGTACGGGATTTTTAATTCATGAACCAAACGTAAGCAAGCACAGTCGGTTTTCTCCGTGGGGGGGTGTGCTCTCAACTTTTCAAAAGCTGTTATATGAACAACGACTCGTGTCGGCTGCTTCACTATAAAGCACACAGAGAAATCAAGATACACAAGACAAAAAAAAAAGGTCGGTTTAGGAGTTAATCATATGGAACAATTCACTAGCTCTTGTATCATACCTACCACAGAAGAGTGTGTGAGTTTGTAATGTGTTCTACAAGGGTGTCTGGGAGTTTAAAATCAGGCCCTTTGATTTCTAACACTTTGCTTACCTGATGAAGAACGCTATTAAAGATTGGGAAGGGTTATGGGAAAAAGCATGAAGGATGTAATGCCAGTCTACTGTGCATATCCATACGCAAGGTGTATTTGTGTCAAAATAGAATAGTCACATACATACAGCAGGGAGGCTATTTTGAAGACTGAACCAATATTAAAGTGCACCAGTCATTTTGAAGAAGACACGTTACGGCAAAATAAAATGCCTTTTGTCTGTCCCAGTTTACTGTAGTTCAAATCTTGCCATTTCCATTAGAATAAAGCTGAACCCTGACCAAAAACAATATTTGGGCATGTGCTCTGTAAAAATAAATGTGCTTAATGTCCAGTACCAAGACTTCCAGTTCAGGCAGGACTACACTGATCAGATCACTCACTCAATGCCTTGTTCATTGAGAAACAGCCTGCATTCTGCATTGATTGAAGGCAGGAAGATTGTGACAATCATCAGAACCTCCTCCATTCACAGAACATATATTCTGCAACAAGGTGGTTTTGTCAATGAATGAGGTGTTACGTGACCCGCTATGATCAGTGTACGACAGCCAAAACAGAATTTCAGCACCGGACATTCAGCATTAGCTATATGGTAAAGGGTGAATGAAAGTAAATGTTTACGTAGCGCTACATACCCACGTGCCAATTTATTTTTACAGTGCAAATGTTCAGATGGTCTTTGGCCAGAATTTGGCTTTAAAGTGGAACTAAACCCGCCAGTTTCCTCAAAAGAAAGCCTCAAGACAGAACGTTTAGTAAAGATTTATTTAGACATGTGGCAGCAGAGCAGTGGGCTTTAAATGCTGTCCTGCTATACTTATGCATACAGCCAGCGCTGCCGCTTTGTGCTGGGAGCGTTTTCACTAGGCATGCCCAGTACTGCGAGCATGCTTTCATCAACAGCTCCCTGTTTACAATCAGGAGTTGACAGAACAGGTTCCCAATCACATGATCACAGTGAACACCAACCACTGATCACATAATGAGGAAACCCATGAAATGGCCTTGGCATTAAGAACCCCTTAAAGGGCCAGCAGTAAGGGGTTAGTCAAATGTACCAATGTTTTCTTTACTGCTTTCATTTACATTCTACCCAACAGTACATGTCCAATGAAAGCTACGTTCAAAGCAGGTCTTCTGGTGATAACTGTCACAGTTGATAGTGTGCTTATGTAAGCCTTCAAACGGCTGGTGTCATAGCTTGTCACATACAGCACCATGACATCTGCAGATCCATATAGAGGCTACGATGGGACCTTCCTCAGTGGATAAGATGGTTTAGCTCTGTTTTAGAATGCTCTTCTGAACAAAGGACGACGCATACTTACCCATTACAGCACCCACTATATCCTCTCGGACATTTTATTTTATCCCTCCTAGCTACAGCCTCTGACCCTAAGCTATGTTGGCATGTTCATGTGTCATGGATTTGGAGCAGTCTCATGACATGGGAGAGACACCACTGTTCAACAGAAAATGAACACCGCTGCGAACGTCAAAAATGTTCAGCATGGGGAGGTGGCAAAATTAATTTTTGGAAGAGAGATTGCTTTACATCATGTGAAAAGAGCATGCAATTCGGCCCAGAAGGGAGAGTTTGTAAATTCAATGTGGCAATAGGGTCATGGCTGCAAATGCTGAAGACCATGTTCTGATGGTAATCGCTCACTTCCCGGTTTAAGACCACAAGTAGAGTTTTGAACCCTTTCAAACAGCATCCTTTGCACAAACATGTCTGGTACAAAGTGACAGGTTCACTTCAATAAGTGGCAAGTCGATATGACCCAGTATTTCCAACAATGACATTCACACGGATTAGCGCAGCCAAAAACAGGTCCTCACTGTATGTAGATGACGGCTAAAAGACAGCACATTCAGTATAACTCCAATGTGCCACATTTGTCTGCCCTCCCCCTTCCAATTGCCCATATCCAACCCCCAAAAAACAGAGCGTGAGCAAAATCAAAGAAATGGAAAAAAAAAATAAAATAAATGCAACTATAGATTTCCATATACCAGTCGTTTTGTCTTGGATTAACAAAGTGCGTGTGAGCATAAAACATACAACATGTACAGGGCACTTAAGAGAAACTGGACAAGCTGGAGAAGAAAACGGTTGAGTGGTATTTTCAGCAGGGCCTGGTATATAGTTCAGGCTGAACCAGGGAAAAGAACTGTAAAACACAACAACAAAAAAAGAAAAACCACTGTTAAATAAGGATCATGGTTCCTTCCACCTACGCTGAGAGCTGCAGATCTTAAACAAATTATATATTACACTGCATGAGGCAGATAGCTGCATTCTGAGGAAAAAGGGGGCCCGAGTCTTTGCCAATTTCACCATACATCACCCAAATCTCTATGGTATATCTCAGGGGACAGTCATGCATTGGTCCAGAGGCAAGAGTTGGCCAATATTTGGAAAAAAGTAAGACAGCATCTACCATAAATCATGCACTGGATAGACCAGTCTGTTTTTTTTTTTTTTTTTTTTTTTTTAATTTTGTTAAATGTGACATTAATTTAGAACTGGAACTGAAATAAAATAAAATGAAAAAAAAGCAATGAGGACCCTCACCAGGTATTTTTCATGCGTCATGGTTTAATTTTTTACACTGCCGCTTTGTTAGAACCATGAAATACTGCGTGGATATGTTGAAATGAAAGAAAAAAAGAAGAAAAACAGACAAAAAAAGAAACAAACATTAACCAATACACCTGAAAACCAGCCCAGTTTTAAGACCTTTATTTAAAAATCCAGAGAGCAAAGAGCATTTGTGGCCAGTAACCCATAGCATCTAACCAGTTTTCTTTACGCTCTATGCTAAACCACTCACAGTCATGTTCTGACTGGCTGCTTATGGGTAACGGCAAACCAATGCTCTCCATACTGTTAAAATCTTAAAAGGCAGTGTTCACTTTTTATTTGTATTTTTTTTTAAAGCCAATATTATGCAGTCAAGTGGCTCCAGCAACAATGTCTAGCTTAAGAAGAAAAAAAAAAAAAATTTTTTATACACCCACACCACTAGACTGAAAGCAAATTTTTCAAGCCCTAAACTTCAGTACCCTACGATGCTTTAAAAGCCCCCTATAGGTCATCTGTTTATCATTACGGAGGTCGTCTGGTGCTAGAATTATTGCTCTCAAATCGCTTTCATGTGTAGGTGCCGCAACACATGCGTTTACCTTTGTACGTGCATATATGTGGATGGATTGGGGGATTTTATGCGCTTGGGTAGAACTAATTTTTAATTTTTTTTACTTAATGCCAAGCTGTACCCAAAAGGGGAAGTTCCACTTTAAGCCTGTGTCTCCAGCTCTCCATTAAGGATTGGCACCTTTGGGGAGCAGTACCCGAATTTCACAGGTACCCGCTCCCACTTCCGCTGCGATCGTCTAAGGCGATCGCAAGCAGAAGTTTTCGTCCTTCCTCCTCTCTCCCCGTAGTCTTCTGGGATATGCGATAGGTCCCAGAAGACTACGGGACCATTCACAAAGCTCAACACTAATTGAGCAAGCGCAGTGGGCACCCGGCTGTGAAACCGCAAGCTGTCACAGCCGGCTGCCCACACTGAAGATGCTGGCACCGGGAGAGAAGACAGCCCAGTGAAACCAGCCATGGTGAGAACACCGCTGGACCGAGGGACAGGAAAGTGTCTGTATTTTAAAAGTCAGCACTACAGTTTTTGGAGCTGTTGACTTTTTTTTTTTATTCAACTGGGACTCCCCTGTGTGATGATTTTTTGGTGACAGGTTCTCTTTTTGAGAAATGCAGGGTTTAAAAGACTCTGCATGTCTCCCCTGTGCTACACTGAAGGTAATGCACTGCAGATCACACGGCATTACACTCTTTGCCTGCCATGCTGGGCGGGGGGAAACTGTCAATGAAGACCCGGAAGTGACATCCCTACACGTTACTTCCTGGTCAGGAACAAGATGGGGGGAGAGAGCGGATGTTGGCACTTTACCCACTCGTATGGAAGGAATTGGGCAGCAGCGGAGCCACGCGAGTGCTTCCACCCGATAGGTGAGCCCTGCTGCATAAAAAATGCATGTCCAGGGTGTCAAAGCCCAGGCATCAGGATGCAATTTCTAATTGCAATGGAGACCTGGTGTCTTTGATATGTCAATCCCTGAGCTCAGTGCTACTTTGATGGGTGGAGAGAGAGCAATGCACATATCTTGAAAGAGGAAGGAACACTTGTTCTCATGATGCTGGGGATGGCCCATGCGCTATGCATGCCAGATCCTGGGCATAATGAGGTAAAAACACTCCCATAGCAAGCTTTTGTGAAGCTAAGCTTAATTTAG